CCAAGACCCCCACTGCCGACCGAGACTTCCTCGCATTTGATTTAGAAATCGCGCTCTCGCTTGGAATTGTCTTACAATGTATTCAGGAATCGCTCTCTCGGCGCTCTGGAGTCGCGCTCTCGCTGGAGACTCGCTTGCAATCCACTCAAGAATAGCGCCTTTTGCGTTGGATTCTTCCGCAATTTACTCAAAAGCCGCGCTCCCGACACTCAGGCACCCACGAGTCGCGCTCACGCTTAGGACTCCCTCACAAATTACTTGGGAATCGGGATCTCGCTGCCTTCGTGGCCCCGTTGCAGCCCTTCGTGGCCCCCTCGCTGCCCGCCGCGGCCCCGTTGCAGCCCTTCGTGGCCCCCTCGCTTTGCTTCGCGGCCCCGTTGCAGCCCTTCGTGGCCCCTTCGCTGCCCGTCGCGGCCCCGTTGCAGCCCTTCGTGGCCCCTTCGCTGCCCATCGCGGCCCCGTTGCAGCCCTTCGTGGCCCCCTCGCTGCCCGTCGCGGCCCCGTTGCAGCCCTTCGTGGCCCCCTCGCTTTGTTTCGCGGCCCCCCTTGCTCGCCTTCGTGGCCCATTCGCTGATTTTCGTGGACCCGTTGCAGCTCCTCGTGGCCCCTTCGCTGCCCCTCGTGGCCCCGTTGCGGCCCCTCGTGGCCCTCTCGCTGCCCTTCGGCTCCGTCGCAGCCCTTCGCGACCCCCTCGCTGCCCATCGTGGCCCCATATGTATATATGTATATGTATATGTATATATATATATATATATATATATATATATAATATTATGTATGTATGTATGTATGTATGTATGTGTGTGTATGTATGTATGTATATATATATATATAATATATATATATATGTATATGTATACCTATATACATATAAATATATATACATATATACTATATATATTATATATATATATATATATATATATGTCTATATATGTGTATATACATATATGTCTGTATGGGCCCGTCTATTCTACGAACGCCAGCCGAGGTGAGGCCACGAGCCCCACAATCTGATATCCGTTAGCACTGGCACGGGGTCAATCCGCGAGGCCACGAGCGTGCAGCAGCGAGCACACTGCCAAGTTCAAATGCCCCAGACTGTGTCTGAGATCGTTGAGGGTGAAGGGGGGCGGTTTGGGGATCACCTGGAAACTGCAGAGCAGACGGCGTCGGAACGACGGCGACAGACAACAACGCGCAAACACTGACAATGTCTGTATGGGCCCGTCTATCTAACGAACGCCAGCCGAGGTGAGGCCACGAGCGCAGCAATCAGATAGTTAGCACTGGCACGGGGGTTATTCGCGAGGCCACGAGCCTGCAGCAGCGAGCACAGTGCCAAGTTTGCTAAATACCCCAAGCTCCCATAACTTGGTGCTGGACGTGCGAAGCACGGCTGACACAATAGGTTAGGCGAGCGCGTAATATGAAGCTATCAGCTGGGACCGAACATCTGAGGGAACAAAATGCGAGCATAAGAGCGACGGATGCGGCTGAGCGATCCCCGTTAACAATTCGCCCTGCGGGTTCTTGCCCACGAGCCGCTCGTGCACCTTACCAGAAAAGCCGCAACGCCCAGCCTCCACACGACGCCTGCAGAGCTAGTGTAGCCCCGGGGCAGAACAGGCAAACCGACGCACGTTTTTCTGCCAGGGGGGCACCGCGCCCACAGAAACTACATGTTTTTACAAGGCCTGTGACCTCCAATCGCTTGAACTGAGAAATCAGCCATATGCTCGGAATTGCTGGATTCTCTAAGATGCACTGACGACGGAAAACGGCAGCCCCACGAGCTAGTCCGGCGGACATTCTCATCCATGGGTTTCCGACCTTGACCTCCTGAGCATCCGAGAAGCTGAGACCACTAAGTCCGCGCGGGCCGTCGCTGGGGCCCCCGATGGGGGGGGGGCCGGGCCGCCCCCCCCCGTCTCGCCCTCGACCGCGACGCGCACGGGGTACCCATCCATACGAGCTTGCCATCGAGATGTGCGATGGGAGCTTCGATGGCTTCGAACACTTTGGTCCGCGGGGCGTTCTGATTGGGTGAGTCACGCATATCAACGGAGTAACATCTGCACCCACATGGGGCCGCAGCACACGAGAGGTGCTTAGAGCCCCAGAAGATCTCCACGACGAATTTTCATCTTTTGCGGTGCTCCAGGCGCAGGCTCAACGACGCTCCGAGGTCGGTCGGCAACGAGGCGATGGCGGACAGGCAATAACCCGTGCAGGGGGGCAGGATTTTCGAGCTTCCTCGCGCTGAAGGTGCGCGGCTGCTTTGTGCCGACGAAGAGACGAATCGCTGGCCCACCTGCCTCGCTGCTTCACCTCGGCGATGGGGCGGATGTTGCCCCGCCTGTCCGCCGAAGGTCCTCGGTGTCGTAGCTGGCGGGGCACGTGCGTCACGGGCAGGTTGAGCGTGCTGCGCTTGCTTGAACACCGCGCTGAAGTGCTGGATGCTGAACTTGAACAGGCGGCCCGCCTTTCTGGCGAGCGCCAACCTGGGAAGCAGAGGCGCAGGTGGTCCAACAAGATGTCCTCGTTGGTCGCGAACGTCATGGACGTACCCCCGCGCGCTCCTCCGGGCGCAGGTTGAGCGCGGGCGCCCAGGGCAGGGGGGGGGGGGCACGGCGGCGCCCCATCTTCGGCATGGAGTTCCACGCCTCGCAGGGGCGGAGGTACGCCGAGAACATCGCCAACGTCATTGGCGCTTCGGTCGGCACGCCCTTCGTGGCCGTCACGCGCGCGATCGCCGCCGCCGCCGTCCAAGGCGCAGGAGCCCGCGTGCTAGCAAGGCCGAACAAGTGCCATGCTCTGATCGCTCGCGCCGCGCGCGGCAGCGACCAGGCCCCCCTCGCCCGCTGCGGGCAGAGGGCTAAGAAAGCGGCGCTGGTCACCAACGCCTCGCCGCGCACGGCTGCGGCGAAGAACCTGGCCTCGACCGAGTCCGCCACGCCCGCGCCGGCGTCGGTCAACGAGCCGAAGGACCCCCCGGCGCCCGTCAGGTGCTCGAGAAGGCGCCACAACGATTCGGGGCACCTCTTGCAGGTCACGGCCTTCGCCGCGGACGTGGTGAGGAAGCTGGGAGGCGGATGGTCGAGGCGCATGGCCATGTCCTCCACCTCCTGCACGAGCTCGCTGGAAAGCAGGTTCCGAGCGCGTCGACTGGGACTGGGGCGGGGCCAGCGGCGCCCCGACGCTGTCCCAGAGCCTGGAACCCTCATCCGCCGCATTCAGCTCAGAAGGATGCCAACGGCGCGACAGAGCAACATCTCCCGCGATACATAGTGCAAGTGGCTTACGAGTACCTAGAAGCACGCCGAAGGAAGCCGAGCGTCTTCTCTCACGAGCCAAAACGAGCGACATCGCACCCCCAATATGCAGATGTCGTAACCCAATATTCTGAGAGGAGCGAAATGTATGTCGTGGTGCTGATACCGTTCCCCCCCCCCCCCCTCCAAAATCATGCTGTTCTCCTCTTTGACAGACGTCGCGGCGTAGTCAAATTGCCATCGTTCGGGGTCAAGCCACGTTCTAGGAACCCCCTCGAACACTGGGCTCTCCTCTATCATCTCGATTCCCTCCTCCTCCTTGTCGACCCCTGGGGGGACCACGGTGGTAACGTCATTGAACGCGTCGGGATCCTCGAGATCCCTCCTGCGAGCCCGCGCTGCGCACGATATGGAGACCCCCCCTTGGCTCGACCAACCTGGGAGACGCCCCGGGCCGATAAACCCCTGGAACACACGGCGTAACCGCTGGGGAAGGCGTCGGAACAGGCAACGTTAAGACTCCATGGCCTGTCCAGTCTCGAGGCAGAACTGAGACAGGACGCTGAAAGTTCGAACATCCTGAGCTGCGCTCTTCAACAACTGACCCCGCGACGACTGACGGGCGCGGGCGAAGGAATAGACGTGAATGAAGATGGGCAATAACTCTGTCCTCGGCATTCAGACATGGATGCAGCGACCCACGAACCGCTCCACCTCGCGCCCGCTGGCCCGCGGGCGACCCCGACGCCGGCGGCCCGCGGCCCCCGGCAGCTGCCGCCTGCGGGCCACGGGCGTCGCCGCGCGAGGGGCCCCGTTGATGCGGTCGCCCGCGGAGACGGCATCCGTCGCGGGGCCCGCCAGCTCGCGGGCCACGACGCCCTTTTCTCCCGATGGTGCCGCAGCTGGTCGCGGATGTCGCCGGCTGCGCTAGAATCCAAGGCCATCGCGTTGATGGTATCGGCGCAGGGCGGCAGCGACGCCCTGCCTGGCACCAGCTCGGGGATGCGCCTCTCATCAGTGGTCGCCCTCTCGGGCTCGATGACTTTGGATTCCGCAATCTGCTGGTAGACCACCCGCTGCGCGATCCACGTCGCCCAATCCCAGCCCATCGGCGCGACCTTCAGGCAGGGCGCGATCATCGAGCCAGGGGGCGACAGCATGCTGCAGCCCGGCAGATCTGCGAAGTCCGCGACCAGCGACACCTCGATTGGCGGCAACGCGCAGAACTCCGGAAGGGCGCATGGGGACCCCCAGGAAGAACAACAAGTTCGATATGTCCGCTTGCACAACGCGCAGCACAGCATCAGCAGGGGCCGAGACGTCGACCCACCGTGACCTGCTGGCCAAGCCCATGGCAGGAGGTGCCCCGGACCGAGCGCTGTTGACTAAGAAGGGAGTGACGTAGTCCTTTGGCCGCGTAAGTCCACGTCAGCATCCCGATCGCGGCCGGCGAGCGGAAGGCGGTGGCGGACTTGGCGGGGGGGCGCTGGAGAACCGTGTCCATGCGCGGCTTCGTCGGAGCGTTGGCCTCACAGACGCTGCCAAACTCGCAGTCATCAAGCGCCATGGCATCGCTGAACTACTCCCCGAGGCAAGCGGCGCACTCGGGGTCCAGCAGCTGCGCAGCGATCGGAAGCCGTTCCGTCGGTACTGGGATCGCCATCATCTCGCGCACGCCAGGCGAAACAGCACTCGGGCCCCCATCCCCCCCCCCCCCCCCCGCACCGTCGCAGCCGAGGTCAAGGCGGAGGGGCGCGCGGGCGGCTTCTCGCGAGTCGGCAGCGGGGCGACCATCATCAGCGCCCGCATGTCGAAGCAGAACGCGCTGGGCTTCACGCTGCGCAGCGCTGGTAGAAACGCCAGGCCTGGCGAGGCCGCGCCCCCCCCGTGGAACCAGCTGAGGGAGTCGATCATGGCGTCTGCACGCTGGCCCTTGGCGCGACGCAACTTCAGCCTGCGCCGCGCGGGGCGCGACATGCCCTCGCGCGCGGCCAGGTTCTCATCGAGCCTCGGAAGAGCGAAGAGATCGCGCGGCGCACCTCTCGGTACCTGCGAGCCCGCGGCCGGCGCCGAGCGCCCCCCCCCCCCCCCCCCCCCCCCCCCCCCCCAGAACTTCAACCCCGCGGAAAACTTGCGGAATAGATGTTGCTCCACCAAGGAAACAGTTAACAACGGAAACAACTGAAAATTACAGAAGTCAATCGAACATGAAAAGAACGACGGAATTGCGGAATTCTATGTAACAACACAAAACAAAACAACAACGGACATGCGGAATTAAAGTCGTAAGCGAGTCATAAGCTCCACCATCGACGACGCACAGTGTATGACGTTTAAACTGTAATATTAAGCATATAGCATGCAACTTATGAAATATGTGACACGCACAATGTGCATACTATATAAGTATAGGCATACATCATTTGTACTGCTACATAGCTTATAGCGTGCAATGTACATATTACGCGCGCATGCACATCCAACGTTGTTACATTGCTCGTGCGCATGCAGTGCAGGGGTGCGACAAATGTCAAATTGCAGTTCGTTTCTGCAATTACATGTGTTGTTGCATGTTTGCGGGCCCGTGCGGGGCTTGTCGCCGCAGGCCCTGATTGGGCCTGTCGGCTAAATCGCCGCGGGTCCACCCCTGGAGAAAAACAAAAACAGCATGGATTTTGGCACGCCCCTGCAAGAGAGCGCGCGAGGCCGCGCGCTGCATCGGCCCAGGTTCAAGGCGCGCAGGGCGGATTTCCTTCACTCATTCCTTCCTCGTTCACCCCGCCCTCTCATGTTTCTCCATCCTGGCTCCTCCTCCTCCGCCGTTTCCCCCTCCTCCTCCTCCTCCGCCTCCTCCTCCTCCCCCCCCTCCTCCTCCCCCTCTCATCCTCCTCCTCCTCCTCCTCCTCCTCCTCCCCCTTCCATCCCCGCCCCTCCCTGTGGGCCCCATCGCTCCTTTTTCTCCAGGGTTGTTTGCGCCAGCCCGCAGAGCGCGCGCGACGGCGGAGCCCGTCGAGAAAGGCGAGGACTCGGAGGGCGACGGGGCTGAGGGGGAGGCGCCGGTGGCCTCTGCGGCCAAGGCGCCGCGGGAGAAGAGGTGGGGAAAGGAGGGGGTGGGAAAGCAGGGGGGGGAACAAGAGGATGGAAGGAGAAAAAGGAGGGGGGGGGCGAGGAGGAGGAGGAGGAGGAGGGGCAGGAGGAGGGGGGGGAGGAGGGGGCACGGAGGAGGAGGGGGGGGGTGGGAGGGTGGGGGGGAGGGGGGGGGGGGGGGGGGGGGGAGGGAGATGAGGGGGAGGAGGAGGAGGAGGAGGACGAGGACGAAGATGAGGGGAGGGGGGAGTGCGTAAGGAAGAAGGACAGGGGGAGTGCTGAGAAGGAGGAGGAAGAGGAGGGGGAGGAATGAGGAGGGAGAGGAGGGGGAGGACGGGGCGAGGAGGAGGAGGAGGAGGGGGAGCGACGAGGGCGAGGAGACGGAGGAGGAGGAGGAGGAGTGGGAGGAGGAAGAGGAGGAGGAGGGGGAGGAAGGTGCACCGGCCTTGATCCTCCCTGCGCAGGCGCTCATGCCGTGCATCAGCACGGCCCTGGACTTCTTCCTCTACCCATCCAACGCTCGGAAGAGCCCCCCAGACAGAGCAGTGCTGAAGAAGGAGGGGATGGGGAGAAGTCGACATGAGGAGATGGGGGTCGCGGGAAGATGGCGAAATAAAGGAGCGTTGGTGAGGGGGCGCGAGGACGATGGGGATGAGGAGGATGAGGATCAGGAGGACGCGGGCGAGGAGGAGCAGAATAGGAGGATGAGGAGGAGGCTCAGGAGGATGCGGACGAGAGCGCGAGGATAAGGAGACGGGAATAGTGAGGAATGCCATATAAACGGGCATGGGCAGAACATGCCGATGATGACAGCCCTCCTCAACATGATCCAGGATTGCAGAGTCAAGAAAGTCAACCGTCCGCGAGGCCCTCAAGCTGGTGCACGACATGAACAACTTCCAGATGTCGGACAAGGCGGCGCCAGGGGCCAGAGAGACGAGGAGTTGTTTTTCCATGAGTTGCACTCGATTGCGTTGGAAACTCATTTAGGTTTCATTGGGGG